ACTTGAAAGAGTTAACAACTGGGACCTCCTCTTATTGAGAAGTTTTTGCACATCAACTGAAATTACCAACAAAGTGAAAAGACAACCCACAAATTGCGAAAATATCTTTAATAAGCACTCAGACAAAGGTCTGCTCTCTAGAATATATAAAGAAATAAAAAACATTTGGGCCCCAAAATTTAGAGACCCAGTACAAAAATGGGCATGCAACATGAAGGCATACATCTCAGAGGATGAAATTAATAAATCCAATAAATATATGAAAAAATGCTCCACATCGCTAGCCATTTGTGAAATGCAAATTAAGACAACATTGAGATATCATCTCATCCCAGAAAGAATGGCTATCATAAAAAAAGTCAACCAACAACAATGTTGGAATGGCTTTGGGGAAAAAAGAACCCTTCTCCACTGCTGGTGGAAATATAGACTGGTGCAACCATTATGGAAATCAGTGTGGAGTCTCCTTAAAAAACTAGGACTGGAAATCCCATTCAAATCATCTAGTCCCTTACTGAGAATTTTTCCCAGGGGAACTGAAATCATCATATCCTAGTGATATATGTGCACTTATGATTTTTGCTGCATATTTTGTGATAGCCTTATCTTGGAAACAACCAAAATGCCCATCACCCAAGGAATGGATTAAAAAGATGTGGTATTTTGTACAATGAAGTATTACTCAGCTATAAAGAATGATAAACTCGAAACTTTTATATTTAAGTGGATGCAACTTGAAGGTACATTCATAAGTGAAATAATACAGACCCACATGTGTGAATATAGTATAGTCTCCCTAGTGTAAGAACTTAGAAGAAGAAATAAAGATAGAAACGTGTAACTCAATTAAAATAAAAGCGAGAACTTTAGGATTAAACAAAGAAGAGAGGACAACTAGAAAAGCTAGGTAACATGGCAGGGGCAAAGACATATATGTATATGCACAAGATGGTTAAAGCAATGATCCTGAGACTCTTCTGAAGGTTTTTGAAAGTAGCAGTTATTTGGTAGGATTCTCACCCTGACTAACTATATATGTTGATACCTATGAACTGAGCAACTGCACTGAAGATAGCAATATGTAAAGGGAGGGTCATGCTTGGAATGCCTGTCATTCTGGTCTTCTAAATACGTACTGCTTTTCATGACATAGCAATTATGGAAAAAATGCCTCTCAAGTAGGTGCTTGTTTGAAAAAAAGTGCAATAAATGAAAACAGGAGATAAGAAAAACAATGTCATAGGACTGTCCTGCTACAACGCAGTATGTGGTTAGATTTCTAAATTTCTGTGTAAAAATTTGTGATTGTTTACTCCTATCTTTTAAAATTTTAAAATATTTTTTATCTTTCCTTCACATTCTGTAAGGTTTTAAAGTTTAACATATCAATACTTGATGAAAAATACCTGTCCCATGTTATGTCTAAGATGTTTGGTATTCAGACAATGAGGTTAAGCTCAACTATCTATGTTATAGGATAATAATATCATGAACCTTCTCTTCTGGAGAGTTAACAACTTAAGTTTTCAGGCCAAAAATTAGAGAAAAAGAAGGGCTGCAAGGAAGGCAACATTTGGGCCCCAGCCTTTCAAGGTCAGTGAGGACTCAGGACATAGGAGAACATGTACTGTAACATCATGTAACTTAGTTGTGTACCAAATTTTTGTATCAAGGAGATTATAAGGCCACACAGAAAAGTGATTGATGATGTAGAGTGTGCCCAAGGAGAGTCACATAGAGAGAAAAATATTCTCTCTGGCTTTCACAGAGAGTAAATTGGTCAGGCAATGGACATGACTCATCCACATGGCTGACACTGACAAAGGATCTACAAACTGCGGTAGAGGGTTTCAGGGTATATCTTTAGGGGATTTGACTGACCTTGTCAGATACCAAAGTTACATTTCTTGTTATATAGGTCTTGCTTTATCTTGGTCTTAACCATCCAGCAGAAAAGTATAACAATGAGGTATAAAAATAAAGCCATATTAATATGCTGAGCTGTAAATGCCTCAAGTCAACAACTTCTGACATTGCCAGTCATGCGGATAACCCACCACTACTATAGACTACTGGACTCTGGAGTATTTTGCTGAATTCACACACCTACAATAGTTAAATGGCAATGAAATACCCATCTCTGATAAAACTAAACAAATAAAGGGGATACAAATGAACCACCATTTTGTATCTGTACACAGAGAATAGTTAGGATAGATATACAGCTGCAGTTTCTTAAATGAGAAGAAAGATTTGTACTAATAGTGTTTGGACAGGATATTCTGCCTGCATCTTGTACTATGACCATCCACTATGAAGAGAACAATATGCAGTATATTAATTATTGAAACTTTCCTACCAATAGGTTTTTTTTTTGAAAACTTTTATTTGAAAGACTTTATAAAGCCATGTCTTCAACATACAGCATACTCTGATTAAAACAATTAGGGAGAGTCCATTTGTTCCCGAATAGCTCTCTTGTTAAAGCTGAAATTTTACTAGTGATTGTTTTTCCTAATTATTTTAATATATATATTTGGTACAAGTCCTCATTATGCAGCGTGGACTCATAGTGATCTTCCTGTTTTCAACCTCCTCAGTGCTGGAATTACAGGACTGTGCCACCGCGCCCAGGCTCACTCATCAGCAAAGTATGCCCAAGAGAGGGGCCAGTGGAGCATGCAGGACCAGGGATTGAACCCTGCTACCTGTGCTTTGCATAAGCAGGCACTTAGTCCACTGAGCTATCTCACTCACCCTGTCTTTCCCATTTTAAAATAAAGAAAATTCTACAGGATGAAAACAAGTTAATTTTCTCC